CAGTTGCGTGTAACACACTCATAATTTTATCAGTCGGTTTTTGCGTTATTTATATTCTTATTCTTGGGCCGATTTAACGAATGGTTTTATTTCGATTCTTGCGGTTTTTCGGGCTTCATACAATGATAATAAATTTGACTCAACATTTTAAATTATGTCCATGGCAATCCTTTTTCTTCTCTTTCTCTCTACTTCACTTCGTCCATCTGCCTTTATCTCTTAGCCCAAAACACGCAAACTTATCAACTGTAACAATGACAATGAGCCGCAACATCTCTCTACATACACAATCGCCGTTAGCTAATTGATGACGTGCTAGTCATAGTGCTGCTGTACATCCATGAGCAATTCAAATCGAATGACAAGTATTGTTGACGATTATCACTGAATTTGTCACTGAAATATCTGAATTATTTATTCATTTTGACTGTTCCATGTGCAGCCAGAGGTCGTGATTTAATCATTTTTTTTTCGTCTGTAATTTGTAAATTTCAAATGTCATGTTTTGTTCTACACATTGAAAATCGAAATGTTTGATTTGCACTTCACATTCAAAATCGAACAGAAAAACAAATCTTGAAACATACTGAAAAAGCTCATCAAACATGAAGTTGTTTTTTACATTCGAGAGAGAAGTAAAAAAAAAGTCCGCTCAGATCGACATGCAAATGAGAAAGAGAAAATTTTTATTACAGCTGCATCGTTTGCCAATGTTAACATTGTAAAAAGTATATTTTATTGCCGCATCACAACTGTGCTGCACATGACTGCATACACGCAACCTATTTCATTCTATCAGCAATAAAATTGATGCAGCTCTCAATTCTCATCCGTTTTTTTTGTTGTTGTCACAATCACACTTCGACACACCGAGACGCGCACACACACACATTCGATTGGAGAGGAAAATGTGGAAATCGAACGAATAAGCATTGATGCCGAGCAATCATCAAATGTTCGTCTGAACGGCAAAAAAAGAAGCCCACGAAAAAAAGATGCACCACAGTGCGGCGCAAAGGTGCATCAAATACAATTTTTGTTTGATTTTTGTTTGCGCATACATTCTTCTACATTATCTTCGGCTAGTTCCTTTTGAGAGTGTTTTCTCGTTTGGGCGGCGAGGAACTGTTAGCATCTCCGAACCAAGCATAATGTGATTTGGTGCAATGAAAATAAACGATCGACAGCAAAACGCAGAGCAAAAAGAAGAGAGAGAGAAAAGAATTACATCCCACGAACATTGTTCCGGGCATCTGCAGAATCCGAAGAAACTTGTTCATGTTCAGACTGATCGCTGCATGTATGTGTATGCTGGCTGGCTGGTTTTATTCTCTTTTTTTTTCTTTGGCGTACGTGAGTCGTGCGCGCACACACATTGTGTACGAGATACAAATGCAAATGTTTTTTTTTTAATTTTTCGATCAAATATCCTTGTGCATGTTTTTGGATGCCATTCGGTTCGTTGCCTGGCATGAAATCTTTTGTTCGCCTCTTGGTGCGATACGATTCCGATTTGTTTTGTTCATTTGTATGTGGTTCTTAATGTTCGGATGCAAAACCGAAATATCCGAGATATTGAATCGATTCGGAATTTTTATCGCTCTCAGTCGAGGTGGCTCGCCCAAAAATGAGCGATGTCAATAAACTTGCCCGTTGGCTTTCGTGTGTGCCGTCGGTGTGTATGTGACATTTTGTAGGACATGCGATCGTACAAAAAGCATAAAATATTCCACACACGATACAACCAATGTCCTATGGCCCGTGCCAATTTTTCGATTGTCTCGCTATTTTTCGCTTACGCATTTCCGTAATGCTTCCATTTCGCGATCGATATGCCTGTGTCTGTGTAATGGAATCAGTTGAAGGCCGATTGACTAATAAACTGTGTGCGTGTTTGCTTTTTGATCAAATAATTTCGGTTTAAGATTTGATTTATTTCGAACAAAACGAAATCAAAATGTTAACAAAACGAACGCAACCGATGCAATCAAATTACCTAATTAGCTGGTAAATTAAATTGCCTACGACTCGATTTGTCGAAATAAATAATAATAACATCGATGTGCACATCAACATTCAATGGAAGTTCGTAATTCGACATGTTTCATGCTACTTCATTCATGAACGTGATCCTCATCCATTTGTTATCAGGCAGCAAAACGAATTAAACATAATCATCACAGGTGTTACGTCGTATACTCTTTTTTTTATTGGTCTATTCGTGTGCGCCACGAACCAAATGGCAAAAAACAAAATTGCTGCTTAAATTTGTGCAAATCATTACGAACATACGTGTTTTGCGCCTTTCTATAATAATCAACACCACCATTTTTTTTCGTGCCTACCGATTGGCTGGCGATGGGCCAAAATTGCATTTAATCTCGAACATAATTCATGTTTAAGAAAGCCTGTTTTTATGATCGACCGCAAATAAGCTACATTGTTGCATAAATCATTGGTTTTAGCCCGAAAGTTCTGAATCTCTCGGAATTAAAGAGGCACAGTAGCTTTTGATGCTACCTACTAACGATGATAAATGCGCAACTACTCAAATTGTGCGGTTACGTGGTCGTTAAAAACCAATCTCTCCTTCATTGAGATTGCATAACCAAGAACACTTTCCGCGCATTCGTTATGACTCAGACAAAAACAGTTTTGCATGTTAAAAAGGAATGAAAATCCCGGTTTATTCTCATTGAATTTTAAGTACTTGGTTCTTACCATTCCTTATTTGATCATGCAATAAATGAAAATCCCGAAAAAACGCGTTCATTGTTTGATATTGCAAATCGAATCTGAATTTTTTTGGTGAGACATATCCAGGGTTAGTGCATTTGTGCGGCAGTTAATTGTAACAGCAACCGCAGTACACTGTGTGTGTACCTGATCGATGCGAAAGGCAAATAGACAGATAGAGAACCGATTGGGAATGGGAAAAAAAAAACAGCTACTCACACAAATAGTAAGTGAGACGGTTGCGATCGGTTGGCGGCTGCAGTTGGAGAGAGGGACAGAGTGAGACAGAGAAAGTATCGCGATCAGCGACCGAGTTCGGTGTCGCATACACACCACAATCACCGGAGTGTGTGTGTGTGTGTGTGTGCTTTGGCTTTTTTCGTTTCCATTTTTTTCATTGAATATGTGTTGTGTGTTTGCTTGCTATTGCCATATTGCTGAATCAATGGGTGACTCTCTCGGTGTTGCTGCGCGTCGGTAATATATGTGTTTGACTGCCTGTCTGTCTGTTTCTCTCTCTCTCTCTCTCTCTCTCTCTCTCTCTCTCTCTCTCTCTCTGCATGTGTGTGTGTGTGACAGAGAGATTGTGAATGTGTGTTGCCGAGAATATGATCGATACTTTTGCGCGTATGCACAATATCATGAGGACAGTTGTGATTGTATTTGAATCGCTATAGTCGCCTTTTCCTCCAGCACAAACGAAAATTGTGATCAGTCGTCTTCGGTGCCGTTGATTAACCAGACATAAAAATGTAACACATGTTGTGTGAGTCACACATCGAAACAAATTCAAGCGAAAAATCAACATAATATACTGAATCGAAGAGAGAAAAAAATAACAAAAACAAGAGAAGAAAAAAACGAATCACGAAAAAGACCCAATCAAATGGAATAAAAAGAGATAATCTCTCTTTTGATTATCGATAACGAAAAGAATAACGTAAATCCACAAATTAATTTTCGTTCGGCTTTTCAAGCCACACACGAATTCAATTTCAATGTAACACATTTGACGTGGTCAATATTTTCTTAATTGTTTTTTTTCTTGTTTTCTTATTATTCGAGATATAAGAGCGAAATATTCTTATTTATTCGTACGATTTGTTTCAGTTGTTTTGGGTGCGCGGTGTTTTTTTTCTGTGTGTTTTTGGTTCTGTTTGTGAATTTCGTATCAATGGTTTCACCGATCGTTCGCGTCGCGCGCGTTGTTACGGTGAATTATGTGCTCGATGTTAATTTTTTTCTGTTCGGTCGAAATTTTTCGCGTTTTAAATCAACTGTAGGAAGAAAAAAAAATGTACCGATCATTCCGTCTCATTCGATGTATATTTGCTGTACAATGTGAATTCGAATTCACGAAGCTGAAGCGAAGCGCGCGAGAAACGGAAGACCACCGCTATAACACAGAAAATTTGAAACGGAATTTTTATTATTTTATGTAAATTTTTTTTTCTCGAAAAAAAAAAATCATTCCGTGTGATTGTTGCTTGACAAAATTGATATACTATCGGCATTTGTTCGGTTTTTTTTACGTTGCGCATTTTTTCGAATGCGTTTTGATCGTGCGCGCTATTTGTTTTTTTTTTGTTCCATCTTCTTCTTCTTCGGTTGTATTTGTTGCCATCCCATTAAATCAACGATAAAAATTCACGTGGCGATAGTCTCTGTGTAGAGAAAGACAACAAGAGAAAAAAAAATTTAATCGAAACAAATAATAGACAATTAATTTATGAAAAGAATATGGGAAAATGAATGAAATGAAAGAAGTAGAAAAAACTGATCGTCGCCCGTCAACAGAGACAGTGATACATACACGTCGAAAGCGTCGAACTTTTTCTGTGTTGTCTTTTTGTTTTGTCCCCGTTGGATATGCGCGCATACGAAATTATCGATAATGCATAGACGTGTTGGAAGAAAGAAAGAAAAAGAAAAACCTGCGCTCGCGCTTCACTCGTTGATATGAATTGAAATTTGATGAAATAAAAACAGAAATGAATAAAAAATGAATATGTGCGCGTATGTGCGTGAGTTTGCAATGCAAACTCAGAAGAAGAAAAAACAGAGAACAAAAATTATGGTCGGATGCATCGCGAGCTCTTAGAAAATTGAAAACAAAACGCAACAATATGAAACACATACACAAACCAACGCATCACCATTGAAAAATTGAAAATTAATATACGAATCGAACAAAAAGAAGCAAAAAAAAAAACAAAAACAAAAAACAAAACAAAACAAAAACAACGACCACGATTCGTAATCATAGTATAATAAATGTTATTTGATTGTGGCTTTCATTCGCAATTCTGACCAATTTTAGTGCGTATCCATTACATTTGGCTGGAGCCAGTGTATGTGATTATGGTATATGCAAACATACCGTTTAGTATAATAAAGTTTTTTTTTTCTTCGGTAATATTTAGTTAGTAATTGCTGCCGAATCATCAAACTTGAAATAAACTCAAATTGACCGAAAACAAAATATATGGGTAACCGAAATCAGAGAGAAAGAATGGATAGAGAGTGGAAGCTTTAGCCGTATCGTCTTTGTCGTTCGTTGCCATCGATTGTTGAATGCAAAACTGATTTTTTTTTCTGCTTCACTTCTCCCTCGCTCGCTCGCTCTCCCGTCATTTGCTTGATTTTTTATTCATTTTAATCTCCCCGGGCAGCAATATGCTGCTCATATTTACATTTGTACAACCACAATTTCAATTACAAATTCATTTGTTGTCATTAAACTACAATTTTTTTCCTGTCGCTGCTGCTGCTGCTGATGCTGCTGTGTTGTGTATGCAACAAAAAAAATTCGTGTTCGAGTTTATTGCCGCACGCATATTCATGCTGTTTAAACGTTTCAATGTGCCCAGGTGATTACACGCAATACCACACTCAAACACACACACACACACACACACACACACACACACACACAGAAACACACACGCATTTCAATCGAAATTACAACCAACAACTAAAATGCCTCAAACTACGTACGCCAAAGAAATGACACTAGACACATTTTTTTCTGTCGTTGTTGTTGTTGTTTTCTGCTACTACTGCTGTTTCTCTGCTCGTTTGTGTGATTCAGTTCAAAATGGCTCAAGAACATTCTCAGCTGTGTCAATCACAAACACATGAAATCGGCTTTAAAGTCAATTTTAATCGCTCACGTCGCTTTAATTGTCTGTTTATTTTGGATTTCATGATGACGGGCTCAAAATCAGTAGCTGCACACATGATATGGGGAGAAAGTGTTTGTGATTTCTCTGAATGAGTTGTTGAAATTGAACAAAAAAAAATACTCATCACTTTTTCCCCATAATTTCTAAACGGAAATATATTTTTCACACCTTTGCACACACAAAAACGTTCAAATTGATCTAATAAAAACACACATTCGAATTTCAAACAACCGCACAACCGAAATACAATCGAAAACAATGATGAAAAGTGTTCATCACATTCGTTTTCGCAGCGCTGCAGCTCGATCCGATTTCGATTTTCATTTCATTGAGAATTTGCATGGTTGAACAGAACAAATTAAGGGCGATTTAGTGTCACGTTTACACGAGCTTTTATTTGTCATCGAATCATTCACACTTTCTTCTGATGCAACATAGTACGCGATTGGCCTGTGTGGTGTTAGCTAGTGATCGAAGGCGAGATCCATACGTCCATCATGAACGTTGTTGTGGCCGAGAGCAGTGGCACGAATCAGCCAATTTGTATTTTTGCACGATGACCCCTTTATTTTTTTTGTATGTGTTTTTTTCTCATCTGCATTTGATTCGCAAAAATAGTCTCGGTGGTCTTGGGAATTTTACGACGAAATTTGTGCATATTTTATGAGCAATGTTTTATGGGTTTTTGTGTGTGTACCATTTGCGATGCGAACCGATTCTTTTTTTTTCAAACCAAATGTGTGCAACCAAACCACCGAACTGCCGTGAAATGTGTTCAAGTGCCACTTGAACGATGAAAAAAACAATACATAAATGCACAATTGGGTTTATATATATTTTTTTCAAATTCGTCGTTGGGCAATAGAAATTGTGTAAAAAAAAACAGAGTTGGATAAAACGAAAGTTTAGGTTTTTATGCGTTTCTTCGCACCAAAATCGTATGTATGTGGAGGCAATTTTATATGTGCAAGGTCAAAGCTACACGCTTTTTTGTATCGTTTCGTCCACGCCTCATGATCACACTTTATCATTCTTCATTTGGCTACACAAATTCGAGCATCGCAATAAAAAAAAATAACATCATTCGATCTCTTTACCTCTGTCGCCCCCTCTAAATCGCAATTTTCATTTGTTTTAATCGTTTTAACATATCAAAACCAGATAATTACACATGGAATTACTGCAGAATGACATTTATTCGTGCTAAAACATGATTTACGGCGTCTGATATATGCCGGACCCATCTATCTCTCACTGGCTCTTTGTCTTTCCTTCTCACTGGCTCTTTGCTTCTCTCTCTCTCTCTCTCTCGCCTACTTGTTCACTCGCTCGTACGCTGTGAAGAAAACAAAAATCGAATAGCCGAGTAATTGAGCACGATTCAATGAATATAATATGTAATTGAGCAAATTGCAATCATTATGTAACTCTCAGGCGATTGTCAATCGTGATTTTGTGCGAGAAAAAAAGAGGAAAAAAACACAGTAACGCTTAAGCACCACCACGCCACCATAGGAACATTCTCAGCAATAATAGCGGCAGTGATGAGCAAATGGATTCGGGAAGAGAGAAGCGTTAAGCAGAAGCACATTCGCGTGTGCAAAAAAGAAAATCACTCACTCACTCACATATACGAATCACATGGATAATTACTTTTTCCGCTTCGTTTGATTTGAAAATTTATCAATGCGATCGATGGTGAAGCTGAGCGAGTGAAAAGTTTTCCACGCTTTTTAGCCGCAGCATCAGCAGCAGCAACAACAAAATCGACTTAGATTATATTCGATTCGCAGAATGAATGAAGAGAAACAAAACACAAGACGAACGCCATGAAGAAAAACAGAGAAAAAACCATGCAACCAGCAGCAATGCGAATCGCATTTTGCTGGTACGGCACATTTGGTCTCGGTAAGAGATCTTGAATTGAACAATCTTTAACGAGAATTATGTGAATCAGGTTCTATTGGTGTTAAGTGAAGAAAAAGAAGAGAAAAAAAAATCACTATCGCCAAATGTGATTTAAAACTTTACGCAAACTTCTAGACAAAACTCAAGTGCAATCTGAACCAAAGCATAGATAATGAAATTATGTAGGAATGCACAGAGATTGAAAGAGAGAGAGAGGAACACTGTGCATATACAGACTGGCTTTATACGGGCACAAAAAAAGGCGCACAGCAAACGTGTTGTGTTATATATGTTTATGTGTGCCTTATCTTTGCCGAGCAAATGTGCAGCATGCTGCACAGGAAAATGCATAGCCCATTTGATTTTGCGCGATTTGTGTGTGTGTATATGCACCTTTTTCGTTTTTCTATCTTAGCCAAGCATTTTGCTGTTTGCAATTGAGCCCTTGCATCTATCTTTTCTCATTTGGCCACATTCCGTATCATTATTTACGATTTTCTTCGACGACTTTGTTTATGTGTCCCTCTGTTCATTCACCTAAAACGAAATGAAGTAAAAAAAAAACAGACACACATGCGCACACACACACACACGCTACTGATTTTTTCCAGAAACGTTGCTAAGCGAACAGTTTCTATGAAGAAATCGCCCGATCTAACTACATGGTTGCGCCGCACCGATCTGTATGTGTGTTTTTTTTGCCTTCTTTTTGGTTTGTTTGCCACACTAATGGGCACGTAACATTGTTTTTCTCTGGCCTAGGCTATGTGCAGAGCATTAAGCCGGTCGAAAAATAAAAACCGGATCACATACATACATATACTTTTTCATCTTCTGTTATTATCCCTTTTCTCGTCCATTCGTTTTGGTTTGCAATTTCGTCAAGAATTTCCAAGAATGAATGTCTGAAAAAATAACAACAACGACGACGCTTCATCAACGCGATTTTCTCTCGCTTGAGTAGCAAATCAGACGGGCAAATAGATAGAATGCTTTTAATCTATCATCTTAAATGTTGATGGGCTTTTTTTCTCTTCCATTGAAAACACCGCATCATAACAATCAATCGACGGAAATCACAAATACCCGGCCAAGCAATTCTAAATGGTTTCATAACAACCGATTGCTCTTGACGAAGAAACAAAAGTCCATTGAATTGAATCGATCAGTGCAGTTTGTGTCAGAAGAAAGTGCTGAGCCCCATCGGTATAACCGTAAATTGAATGATACATTTTGTATAAATATTTACCATTCGATTGTTAATTGTCCAGTAAGAGCAATCGAGAGAGAGAGAAACACTGAAGCATCGAGGTGATGAAGTGGGTTATTCTTTTAATGTCGATAGTTTTATGTACGCACGCGTCGCTTACATTTCATGTGTGATTTCTCTCTCTCTCTCTCTCTCTCTCTCTCTCTCTCTCTCTCTCTCTCTGCAATCCAATCACGCATTACAATCGTAACCGTCGTCGTCGACGCCGCCGTCGTTGTCATCATCATCATTCAACCGCGATACAGAGTCCCGTTTACACGATAACAATGCAAATATAAACACAGACACTCGACGCTCGCTGTTTGTTGATTTAAGCAATAATCGCTTTATGGCCTGTGTGTGTGTGTGTTTTTGCCTCTTCTTCTTCTTCGTGTTTTGATGCTAAATCGGCAACACTGAAGTGAATCATTTTACCTGCTCTGAGTATGTGTGTTTGGTTGTCATCATCATGCTAATCAAAATGCATGAACAATTTGGTGTGCATGTTTTCAAGTGAATTTTGCACGAGCACGCTGAACTTTTTCACTCATACTCACACAAAACACACGTGTTTTTTTTTTCGGTTCGAAACGGGAATCATAGCTCATTCGATATGACATTTTGAGAAGTGAACTTTGCAGATTATCACGACATCGATCGGCCAATTAATCATAATGCCACGCTTAGTCGCATTGAAACACACATTGTTCAGGTGCTCCTTTCATTTTGTGGAAGAGTATGTGGCTTTGATAATGACTCTATCTTTTTCTCTCTATCTCTCTCTCTCTCCCTGTCTTTTCATTCTCCCTTGCACGCTTGCATGCGTTGTCTCAATTAACAAATAGAAATCGAATTTGCGTCGTATGATAAACGGTGTTGCTCCTGTTAAGCTACGCCAAATATGTACCAAAAACACACATCTACACATTTAATTAGATCAGGAAATTCAATAAATTTTTCTCAGTCGCTCTCGTGCCTTTTTTTTCGTTGTATTTCACCTTTTTTTTATTGTTTTCTCTTCAATTTCGATGTTTTGTTTTGTGAGAGCGATTGAAAAATTTACATTTCTTTTTAAACACGACAATGTTGAACATTTCAAATTGGCATTCCATGAGCACGGCGGATGCATAGCGGCAATATTGTGCACGTTTTGTTCTAGTTTCTTTGTCGATTGTTTGATATCAAGCATCTGATTTGATTTTTTCATTCAAGTAATTAAGCGAAAAGTGCACACAAAATGCGAAAGAGTTAAAGTGATAAAAAAAAATTCTGAAAAAAAATGCGATTAGGTTTATTTCTCTTTCCCTCTCCCTCTCCCTCTCTGTGAAATATAAATCCATTCATTTTCTCTTCCCTCATTCGGTTAATCAAGTTTGAAAGAAAGAAGAAAAAAAACGACGACAGCAGCACAGAAAGAAAATCACTGCAAACACAAAATAACAATGATTTTATTCTCCATGCACTAAAAAGGGTCCGAATCACGGTTGCAAGTCCAAATCAATTATCATTGTCACGCCGCTAATCAATGATTTTGTTTTCTAATTGATATTTTTTTAGCATTGAATTGAATACCGATGAAAAAACAACGTAGCATACAATAATCACGAGCCGACAACGGCAAAGCTTTTACAGACTAAAAATTTTTTTTTTTAAGTGAATAAGAACAACAACAACAGCAACAAAACGAACAAACAAGAAACTAATTCAATGGAAGTGAATGAATCGCGAGAGAGTGAAAAAAGCGCAACAACAACATCAGGCTTGTGACACACAGCTAGGAAGCAAAATTAAAATCAAAGTGAATTGTAAAGTGGTGGCAAGTGTGTGTGAGTCTGCAACAGAAAATTGGCTCGCGCTTTTTAACCCAGCCACAGCAATAACATCGTCAGCCACCGCAAACAATACAATCTTCGAAATTGAATAGCAACATTCATGTCAAAATGCATTTTTACTGAGACATAAAACAAATAAAACGAAGAGAAGAAAAAAAAAACAGCGCACCAAGCCACTTCGTCCAAATCCAAATGCAACACATAATTCGTTCCAATCAACACATTGTTTTGTATCATTGTGTGGCAATAGTCTGAATGGGCTGTTGGCTCTTGGTGTGTTAATGCTAAGCGCAACATTGCACTCGCCGAATAGGAGAGCATTACGTAAAATCAACGAAAACCGCGAATAATAAAGTGCACATACACACACTCTAATGCGCTTGTCCATAAAACCGAAATAACAAAAAAAAAAACTAATTGCAATAGCCGGCGGAATCGAACGGCGGTGAGGGAAATAACAAACGACAAAAATTCAATCAAATTACATAAAATGGAAATGAATGATTAACATTTGAAATGCGAAAAAAAATCATGCACTTCTTGGAAAAAAACGTCAGAAAATCTACGAAAAAAACCAATTGCATCGACATTTGCATAGTGCAACGCTCCACTTTGATGTGTACGAAAGACTGAAACAGGCAGCCAGAGAGAACGGATTCCAAGGAAAAAAAAACACTATTTTGAGATATCGACCGACGTGGCTGTTGTAAAACCATTACAGTTTCTGTTTTTTTTTTGCCCCCGAGTATTCAATTCCAGCAAAAACGAAGAAATAAACATCGCAGCGTATATAGTCGTTTCGGTGGTACATTTGAATAGGTGTTGTGATTGCTTCAGTGTGCATCGCAACGAAGAAGAAGAAGAAAAACAATTTACAATTCATCACAATTTCAACGTGCATAAACTTAAACCAAGCACAAACAAAAACGGGCCGAAACGAAGAAGCGAGTGAATCAGCGAGTCTGATTTTTAATCTAAGGTGCTTGCACATGTAAATGTGCACACATAATCGCTGCTGTCGAATTCGATGCAAAGTGAAGCGAAAATGTCTTCGCTCAAGCAACCGGTGGTATGGTGCTCCGATCCGAATTCAACGAATCAAAAACCGACCGCATTTGCACTGCAAGGCATACAATTCGAAGGAATGATTACCGAACAGCATGTGCTGGCTTTGCGCGAACTCATTAATGCAGCGGCTGAAGGTCGTTTACTTTTACCCAGTAACGGTGCCATTGTTCTGCTCGATTGCGGTATCGATGTGAATAGCAATGGTGACGGCCAGCAACAGCACAAACAGCAGCAGCAGCACAAACCAAATTCAGCCACTGAGTCAGATACGAGCAATGAGTCGTTGCCAGTGAGGTCGTTGTCGTCATCGTCGTTGACATCAGCTGTACAAAGCAAAACAGCTGAGCCATCAAGTGTCCAGTCCAATGAACAAATCTCGACAACTATTCCGATCGATGTGAACACATGTGCCGATGCAATCGATTCAATCGAATCCGAACACACGGTTAATCAATGCAAACACTTGGACCATGTAACCGAAACGACGACAACTGACTCGGCAACGGTGCAACTCGAACCAAAATATTCGGAATTCGAAATGCCCGAACTGAGCAAGTATGATTTTATTTATGAATTTTTATGCTGTGCCAAATGCATTAACAACGAACAAACACAGAAACCATCGCTCGATGGTGTTGATGTGAAAAAATCGTGCCAACACAAAATGGTGGCTTGTGGTCATAATCATGGATTTATGTATAATGTAGAAAAGAATATGTGCCATTTAACAATCGATAGCAGTAATCATGTGCCGGTTCCTACTTATGCAACTGTCAATACCAAATTGCGAAAACAGAATATTTTCGCCAATCCAAGCAATTTAATCAAACCGCCACCGCAGTTGGATGCGAATGCGGTGGTGTCGAATGAGGAAAATTTAAGTCGAAAAGACTGTGAATCATTCGATAAAAATGATATTTGTGCCGTAGATTCACATGAAAAAAGCAATGATAACGAAACTGTGATGAAACAAGTGCCAATCGACGATGGAATACAATCGTTAAATTTGGGTGGAGGCAATGACATGCCCGACACTGACACAAATAATATACAATTGCAAGCGATCGGTAGTAAAAATGGCAGTCGAAAAACGAGCCTAGATTCATCGTGTACGATTGGCTCAATGGATTCGGGTTTCATTGAAATGCAAAATAAATTGGAACTTATTGCTAAGGAGGGCAGTCAAAATGCGAGTATGACCGATGCACGATCCAATGTTGAAAATATAGTGCCAACGATTACGGTGACACCCGATGATGAAATTGGCGAAAATGAATCGATAGTCACAAATCACATCGAACAACATAAGGACAATGTTATGCTGAAAGAGTGTTCGACACAGTCGCGCAATCGACGAAAATCCTATGAAGAATTCAAAGCGATTTATCATAATCGAATGACGCTCGAAAGTGAGTTGCCATTTGTTCAAGAGCACGAGCATACATTGCCCGTGTGCAATAAAAAGGAGAAAATCAAAGCGCGTCGAAAGTCGTATGAAGAATTCAAGGCGTTGGTGCGTGAATGTGGTGATGATGTCAATGAATCAAAACGTAAAAAGTCCAAACAATATGCGAAAACAAATGCCAAAACGCTGTCCACAATGGATGAGAATGCAATGGCCTATTTGAATGAGCACAATAAAGTGAAACAAACGTCAAATGATACATCAAAAGCAGAAAATGTGGCAAATAAGTGCGATGTACTGGCCACAACCGCACCACGCACACCGAAAAGTAAAAATGATATTTATAAAACCAATTTCAAAATCTACGATAAGCTCATTTCGTATGGGACGATTTATGATATTATGCAGAAAAAGACGGACATTTATAAGGCGTATCGTAAGTATGATGCCTACATGACCTACGGCACAATCTATGAGATTTTACAGCGAAAATCCGATGATAACGAATTGTTTTGTCGTACGCGTGCCACTTCCGAGAAATTCATCAATAAACGTATCAATGGCAACAGTTCCGATGCAAGCGATAAACAAACAACCGGTGACGGAGCTACAGCGACGATGACGTCGACGACCGGTGGAAATAAAGACGATAAAAGCCGTTCATTGAACTTTGGCGCAATTTATGATATTATTCAGCGTAAGCATCGTCAATCGAAAAAATCGAATTCATTGCCGAACGGTGTGATTGGTGCCATTGAAATGGCCAAAGTAAGCGATGCCGAATGCAGAGCGAATCGTAAAAGTCTCGCAAGCGATGGATGCATTTATGATATAATCCAATCGAAACAATGTGATTTGAGCAAAGCTCAATCGATGACTGCAACTACGACTACGACTGATCATGCGCAACCAAATGTGATGAACACACGGTTTTCGGTGGAAAAAGTCAATGAAAATGAATTGTCACACACAAAATCGAGCTGTAGCATTCAAACAACCTGTTCATCGATGAGTGACGAAGCAAAGGGAAATACCTACAGTGAACCGGCAACTGATGCAATATCGCCGGGCATCTCATCATCATTTCTTACGAAATGGAACAGTCCAAGGTTGAGCAAAGCAAAAAAAACGAATCGAATGCGACGCTTCTCACATATACTCTCCTACACACAACGAAACACACAGTTCGATGCAAATGCAACAACGGTTGATGTGACAAATCCACTTAAACTTTTACCGTACAATGAATCTCTGCCGCAAACGATCGACGAGCACACAGACACAACGGATGAAACAGTACCGGGTGCAAGCAGCAACGGTACAGTCAATAAAGATGGAAAATTAGAGCAGCAGCAGCAGCAACAACAACAACCAATTGTCGGCCATCGAAAAGAGGTGCGAATGAGAAAAATGAATAAATTACGAAAAATGTCATCACCATTACCACTATCACAAGCGGATCAACCACCAAAAATCAGGCCTCGCAAACAATCCGTTCCACCGCCACCGTTGCCACCATCATTCCATTTACTTACACAGCACAGTCTTAAAAGTAATGACAGCCTCGTCGCAGCCGCGAACGCTGCCGTCACACACAATGAACATTCAAAAAGTCTCAACAAAATTGACGACGAAAATCATATAACTGGCAATGATAACAACAATAATAATGACAGTAGTAAAAATGGAAATAACAATAATTCTAATGAACAATCGGCGCAAAATGGCCGTAGTGATAGTGGAAAATGCAAAGCAATCAATTTAATGAGTGATGGCAAAATATTGAAAACCAAACAAAAAATCTCAAACAAATCCAATTTAAACGAAACAAAATCAATGGTTAAACGATCCACGGTGCACAGCGTGAAGAAAGCAAAGTCAAGACGACTCAGTGAATTCACTCGCGGTGAATTTCTCAACGAAAAACCGTAAGTTTTAATCCCAACTCACACATATGTATGTCTGTGCCTCTCAGTTTTCCGTCATCGAAATGAAAAAAAATAAATTCAAATACCTGGGTGGCGGTCATAACGCCCTGGACAGCATGCTTCTGTATTTACATTAGAGTATGCTATCCGTCCGGGGCGTTATGACTGCCACTCAAATACCTCATTGTTTAATAATTAATGTTGATTGGTTGGCTTGATTACGTATAATCCTGTGTAAGCCAATCCATCACAAAAATTGTTAAATTTATTCGACAAAAAAAAAATTCCTTCTTTTCTTTACTTCGGTCTTGTGTACCACACATTTGAAATGTTACGCGATATTTTACGAATCAGTGGCCTATTAAATTAATCAAAAGTTAAAGAGAAAGGGCGACAAAAGGAGTTGAATGAAATGAGATCGTCGACGTCGTCGTCGTCGTCGTCGTCGTCGTCGTTGATTTATGCATAAATTGATTGAAATTACTCGGCAGCTGGCCATGGTATGCATCGTAGTCGGTCACATCAATGGCCGGAATTCATTTGTATTTCGGTCGATAACGATCGGCATCCATTTCGAGTCACACAACCCAACAAAAACACAACGCATAAGAGAACTAGGAGTTTTGAATCAATCAAGCATAGACACATACATCACACACATCTCACGCATTTCATAACTTAATTTCAAGTGATTTGACTGCAAGTCGCATCGAAATTTATGTGAAAAATTAATATTTGAATAGAAGAAAAATCGCTTAGATCTTTCATTTGTATTAATATGGATTTTCGTTGTTGGTCGTTTCATCGCATTGTCTAAAAAAAATGGCGCCAGCCAAGTCGTTTTTTTTTTCGCTCTTTCTTCATCTTTCATCTCACCGTATTTTATGACCAGGCCTTCAATCAGTGTGCATTGCATCAAATCCGCTGCTTTTACCTCGTCATTCGACTGGGGTTTTGTGTGTGTGTGTGTGTGTCTCACCGTTCAAGCAGCCACTTTTCATTTAAAGTCACTTGAATAGTTCAAGCGCGTTATGATTGTGCAATATTGAACGAGCATAACACAATTATTACGTGAAAATAAAAACACAAACCGAATAACGTAAATGAATCAATCCCATAAGGTACTAACAAAAATCAACAGTCTTATCGTATTATCTATTTGAAAATGAAAAAAGCATAAAAAACCGATTTGTTATCGGATCATCACAAAATGCCATTATATATTAGCTCTGTGAACTGTTCGCTCAGTACGAATTAAAGGCGAATAACCTGCAAGTGATTCACAGAAGAAAAAAAAACCAGTCCAATTTCGAATGAAAACAAGCTTATGCTCATACACGCACCGGTACAAGGGCTGAAACAATGAAAAATTACAAAAAACCTATCGTAGTCTCATTGCAAGCTTTTTGTTCGTGTTCAATAGGGAAAAATTCCATAATTATTTTGTGAGAACATGTGAAACGAATCGAGATTGGACGATCCGGCGAGTATGAGCTCGAACTATTGCGGAGATTGCATATAAGAATTGATTACACGCATTCGAATGCCAACGATCTCAGATCCATTGAAAAACCGTGTGTTATGTAACCGTTGCGGTAACAAGCTTATATTTCATATGGATAAAGAATCGTGTATGAGAGAGAGAGACAAAGAGAGAGACAGAGAAATCACACAGAGACGTGTTTAAAACCGTTAAAAATCTACATCAAGGTCATTGCTAAATCATCCTGTCACTATATGACAATATTTCGTTATTCTGAGAATAGAAGAGAGAAAATGGGAGAAAAAAACCCAAGTCATTGCATTCTAATCGTCACTCAATAACTAGTTTAAACTATTGATCTGTTGCCCTTACCGATCCGATCTCTCTATCTCACACACCCAATCCCATCGAAAATTTATGATTTCACAGAAATTCAATGAACTGGCAATCGTTTCGTGATGACTCAGTGTCAACAGATCTGAACAAGTTTTTTGTTATTTCGTTTCGTTTTGGTCCACCGATTTGGAAATGAGCAACTCAGAATTAATTGAAACATTGATCGAACGCAAACCAAAACAGCAAACAACTACAAATACCAAAGGTACAAAGCCCATTTGGCGTGTGCACGGGTTTTTTTTCATACGCATTAAAATGGCAATTTCAAATGATTTGGAAAGCCAAGCATCACGTCGCCTCAATGTAAACAAGAGCATGAGATAGAAAAAAGGAAGAAGTGGCTAGAAAAAAAAACCGTGGCGACAGTCTAAATCATAGCCACTGAGAAATATTTTGTATTAAAAATAGATTATAAAATCAATTACAAGTTCGATGGATGCGTAATTGGTTTTATTTATAGAAATAGTGTGTGCGTTTTTTTTTAATCAGTCAATCGAGTTTCTTAATATAGTAAATTGGTGTAAGAAAAATGGAAAGAGATAGAGAAGATCACATGCACACAACGAGTGAATTGGAAAAAAAAGACGAAAACGAAGAGAGAAGAAAAAAACAAACTGTAATAATCCGTTCATGACGAGATCGAACCACAATCGGATTGATAGATAGCTTGGCTATAATCATCATCGCATTCCAAATTGCTTCTATGAGCATATCCAACAAAATGGTAACATTAGGTGTAACATACACAACAAGTTACAGAAGAAGAAGAAAAAAAAAACAGAGCGCGTAGCTGCAACAACGAACACGACGACAACGAAGTTAATGTGAAGCAAAGGAGATGAAATCAAGAGAAAAAAAATATATGTTCAAACACATTGGTCACTTTGTCCATGCCACTTGATTATCGTCAACGACATCGTTGTTTGCCCGTTGTCAGTACAAATGCGCTAGGCTACACATTTGGATGCGATGTGTTATTGCCGCCACCGCCACCGCCGCTACCGTTGTCTAACACTTAAAATCGAAAATGAAGTAGAAGCAAAAAAGGCGAATCTATAAATAGCAAATTAGAATTCTCATTGCGATTCATGCAGATTCATGTTGTTGCTTCTTTATCTTTCTGTGGTGTGTTGTTTCTCTGTCCGGTTCGGTTTTTCTTTCCTCTCTCTCTCGTTTCGTTATCAATTTTCCATGGTGCGTCGCGCGCGAGGGCAATTTTTCTTCGGGCTGTGCAAATGCATGAAAAAAAAATGGAAATTGAAGTAAGAAGAAGAGGAACAGAGTGAAATGAGGCAGGAAAAAAAAAGGTGTTCGCCCAAGAAAAATATAAATGAGATGAATACATCATTGAGGCGAAGCTAAGCCGTAGATGAAGAAAATAGAATAAAAACGGACAGAATCTGGGCTTCATCCGACAACAACAGTTTCAGCAGAAATTCTGTTGCGAGCACAACATTTGCTAATTGTGAAACTGTCACATAAAATTGGTTTGTTGGGTCCGTTTGCCAACAAAACCGTTTCATTTCTTGCTGTTCTCTCTCTCTCTCTCTCTCTCTCTCCACCTCTCGTTCATTCTTTGTCCAGCTCCAGCATTTGCTCCCTTTTTTCCATGCTGCAAACGATTCAGGTTGGCCGTTTTGTTTCCGCTGACTGCATTTGTTACTGCCGTTGCTCCGAACGCGATACGCAAATAATGTGCGTACAAAATCAAATTGAACAAATTAAGCAAATCGTTGGAATAATGCACCTCCAAGTGGTGTGCATATAACCATTTAATGCTGAAGACATAGTAAAAGTTGGCGCTCGACACCGTCTGCCACAACCATGCACTTCTCTTTCTATCTATCATGCGTATAATTAAAGTGTCTTTTTCTTTCAGTCGTTCAAAAAAAAAAACAGCGCTGATTTTTTTTTGTTCGCTGTAGCATGGCTCTTCATTATGTGTGTTACACATCATTCGCATAATCATCGACACTCTATCGCCTCAATCAGAGATGAAAACAAAAAATCCACACAACGAAACAACGAGCGACAGCCAGCCAGCCAACATAGAAGATACTCATCAGATAAAACAAACGACTTGAATGCATCTTGAGTACTCTATTGAGCGCGTACACACACATCGCACCGGCCGACCAAGCGACCGTGCAAAAATATTGCTTACGAAAGACAAAACGACATATCATGCTGAAGAGAAAAAAAAACCGAACGGCGCATGTGATACGCACATGACAAAATGCGTACGTCGAAACCGTGTGGTTATTTTTAGATTAATGTGCATTTTTCTATTTCGCTCATTGAACATTTTCTTCCTTTTTTGTGTATGGAAAGATATGTGTGCACTTTTTTTCTTCTAAAAAAAACTTGCCTCTTCTTGCAAATCGTGCAAACGCCTTTTTTTCTTTTTTCATTTCGAATAATTAAAGTCACTCTTTATGTATCTGGTTGAGTGTCTGATGGATACGAAGAAAAAACGACACTTAGTATACACATACACTGAGTGGCATAGAGGCAGAGAGCATAGCCGTTCCAGCGGCGTGAACGGTTTTTGTCGTTGATGATGATGATGATGATGATGATGGTCGGCCGCAATTTTGCTGCTCAACGAGAAACAGCAACTGAAATGTGACCATTTTGAAAAATAGACGTTGAAGACGCAATTGAAGCTTACATACATACTTTGCCTAAAACATTGCCTTTGTTGCTCGAATTTCTGTTTGTGTATATATTTTGAGACTCAACTTTGTCTTCACAATTCTAAGCATTATAATTTCGATTGCATTTACATGATAAAAGGAAAAACCCATCAAAATGTGTTCATCTAAAAATAGCAAGGATTTTGTTGGGCGGTATTTCCTGTGTTCGACTGGTTTTCTGGCCATTCAGACAATGGCAATGTGTTGCAATGAAAATTGCCGTGCGATTCGATCTATGGTACACGATGTAAAACACTTGTATGTGTCATTGCAAACGCGTTGAAATTGATAATGGGCTCGATGAAAGGACGACCAAAGACCGGCCCAACCAGAAGAACATTTATTCAAAACATCGTCGCTATTATTTATAGAGATCGAATTGAAACTAGCGCAGCGTTTAGTCGATCCGACCAAATCGAAAGCAAGTGTCAGTTGATCGGCGTCGTCTTCAAAGTGCCGTTCATGTTAATGATAATAATAATGAAGTTAAAGCGTGCGCATTTTAGATTAGAGTGACAACTTTTAATTCAGTTTACTTTACAAGCTCATTCAATTTATTTTCATCTTGTCCCTATCTATCCGTCTTTCTCTTGCCTTTTGTTTGTCTCTCTCTCTCTCTTTTTTTCTATCGCGCCATTTGTTGTATTCGTTGTTGAGGCGCATGATTGTCGCACTCCAAACAGGTTATTTCATAATTGTAGCATCAGATTCGATACACTTTAGCGGTGCAAGTGTAACCTAGGCAAGCATCGGTTCGGGCATATTTCTATGCAAGATAAATATGCTGAGCATAGATGCGTACGGACGACTGTGCGACGAACGTATCACCAAAGCCATCGTTGTTTGCTGTGTATTCATACACACACTAACGCGTGCGTCTCGCAATGCACGGTCGCCCCGTGTATTGCAAATGCACGCGTTAGTGTGTGTATGAATACACAGCAAACAACGATGGATCTGGTGATACGTTCGTCGCACGATCATCCGTACGCGTCTATGCTCGGCATATTTATGCGGTATAGAACATCTAGGTAAACATATTTCTATGCCCGAACCGATGCTTGAACCTAGGCTTAGACAATCGATTTGAATCTTCTCTTTTTCGCCATATATCCATCGCATGGCAAACACACTGTGAAATTTTGAGCAAAATTTTCTCATGCTCTTCACATAGGCTGACTTACACAATGTCAGCAATGGCAAGTGACCAATTGAGAAGTATGTTGATTGAACCGCGAAAAAAAGAAGACACAACAGCGAACAGCCATTCAGCCAATGTACTCCGCTGTGTGTACATTACAAGTCTAAAAATCACAAGCGCCGTTTACTTTCACGCCGCCGCTACAAATTAGTTGTCCGTCAATTTTTTTTTCTTCTTCTTCATCATCATCATTTCTTCCACTTGAAATTTTGATGTTTGAGTGATGGAGACGTCTGTATCGCTGTTGGACTTTTTTTTCTCGGTTTTCAAATCTATTTGCGGTATTTTGCAAAATCGCCTTAAAACGAAAACAAATGCTGAATTTCAAACTGAAATTTAGGTCTCGGTAATTGATTCCATAACACATGACCGTGTGTGTGTATGTGTGTGACAAATGGAACACTTTGATGGATGTTTGACACACATTCGTTAAACCAAACCGTACTTAGCACAATCGTTTAATATTCTTGATAAGGAATTCGATTGTCCGAATTCCGTTGATGCAAACGGAACTGGTTTAATTGAACCAATAAATTGACACGGAAAAAGGTGGATATCAAGCGTATGGCAGCAGAAAATAATAATAATATGCCGGGTCCATTTACCGTGTTATTTTTAGATATATGCAAAATAATTGGTACATGTGAAACGAATTTTTTCCGTTTCTATTTCAAACTATCGCCGGCTAATTGCGAGCATTTTCGAATTCCTTAAATGATGGAGTAAAGAGAGAAAAAAAAAAACTAAAAATGACCATTGATGATGATGATGATGATGATGATGAAAAAGATATGGATCTTATAATGAAGAAAATGCAGCAAACGTGCCGCCCAAGTCTGACGCCACTAACACAAAATCACAAGGAAAATCGGTTGGCGCCAACGTGCCACAAACATTTCAACTGTGCGAACGATGATCCGATTTTTATCGCTGCTCTTCTGCTACTTTCGTTGTTTCGAACTTCAATCAACGTAATTTGCGCGCTTGCGCGCCTTCACACTCTTGTCGCGCCGGCTCAATTGCAACGCCAATTCATAATAAAGACAACAGCAGCAGAAGAAAAAAACAACAACAGCGATCAAGTGTGAATCTTGTGCATGTTGCATCTTTCTCGCCACAGACATTGGACATACAAAAAAAAATCACTTTATTTATTGATTAGCCGACGAAGTGAAGAAAAAACAGTACACGAATGTTTTTTTTTTCTCTTTTATTAACATCATGGAAGTATAATTAAAAGTAAATTATCGTAAAAGCGCCTCTCGTCTCTCTTTTAGCGACTGATTTCTGCTTGAGATTTAATGTATGCGACCAAATCTCGTCGTTAGCAGCAAATTAAAGAAGAAAAAAAAACGTCCATCTTAATATTGTAGCACGTGAATTAACAACAACACGGATTGATAACAAAACGAAATATGTGTAACTGGAGAAATTTCTTTATATAATTTATATCGGTTTTTTCTTTGCGTTGTGTTTTTTTTTTCATTTGTGCTGTCGATGTCATTTGGAAGCGCCGATTCGAATTTGGAGTTTGGCAAATTGTGTGTGTTTTTCTGCTCGTATCAACCAATATTGGACCAGCCGAGAATTAGTTGTAATGATTATTTATATAATGGATATTATCGACAGGACTTTTATATTCGGATGTGCGCCGGCCAAATGCATCCAATGCATTGTCGTCATTTGTAACATATTACTAATTGCAATATCAATCGAATGTAACGTGATGTTTGAACACTTACTGCAACGTATCAAACCATACATCATTTTCATATGTGTGCGTGGCGCTAGGCAATCGTAAAATTAAACATTAAAAACACACCGCAGTACACACGCAACAACACTTGGCAATATGCCAATTGAACTATCATTAGCGTTTACGTATACGCCAGCATAAGTGTTTATTAATTACGAGGCCGAATATAAGTCACTCGATTTTACTCTCTCTCTCTCTCTCTCTATCTCCCTTCAGCGTGGTGTTGTCTCTCGAATGCTCTGTTCTGAATCTTTTCTGTTGTTGTAATTTGATATGCGTCATAAATGGATTATGCGACTGTCGCCAGCTGTTGCTTGGCTCTCTCACTCTCTCTCTCTCTCTCTCTCTGTCTTTACTCTGAGTTTACTCTGAGTTTAGCGAACAGAAAGAGAGAAATATTTTGGAATGGCAATTTGTGATATCATATGGGAAGCTAATTATTATTCGATTGAAATGTGATTTCAATCATGCAATCAAATCAAACCACATCAATCACTGCAAGTCACAAAGAGGCTTGTTTTTGTGCGATAAAATAAGCAAATAGCAGCATAATAAAAATTGTTTTCACATCAAATCCAAATAATTCGCTTAGGCAAAAAAAATTATTGATGATTGAAACGCATCGAAATTTATACTTATTAACATGGTTCTTTTGTCTTCTTTTCTTGCAGATGGTATTTCCGAAAAATAAAGCGTATCGAAGCTGAAAAGAAGCTACTTCTTCCAGAGAATGAGCATGGAGCATTCTTGATTCGTGATTCAGAGAGTCGTCACAATGACTACTCACTTTCAGGTATGTGTTCTCATTTCTGTATTTTACTTTGCCACGAATCTGATTGTGAAAGTTGATCTGATTGTTTTGGTTTTTTTTTTTCGATATGCGTAATAAATCCCATTAAATTCGTTTCGATTTGTGTGCATTAAAATTTTCAGTGCGTGACGGCGACACGGTCAAACATTATCGCATTCGTCAATTGGACGAGGGTGGATTTTTCATTGCACGTCGCACAACATTCAGGTAATGTGTCATCAATTCATCTTCTTTAAATTCACCCACTTCACTGCAAACCTAATCGGCGTATTCTGTCATTTGTAGAACATTGCAAGAGTTGGTGGAACATTATTCAAAGGATTCCGATGGACTGTGTGTCAATCTGCGATCGGCCTGTGTACAGGTACATTTACCACATTTTACATTCCATTCACACCAATAACACTCAACAATTACTTGTGATAATCTAAATATTATTACTTAAGCTAACACTAACTAACTAACTGAAAAGAAGAAACGAAAAAACAAAAAAATAATCGAAAAAAAAAACGAGAAATTGCACCCCGCCTTAACAAATGGCTCTCTGCATGCAGGGAACGATGTCATATATTTAGATTTTTGCGTGTTCAAGTGATGATAAATTTCGTTTTTACGTTCAATTTAAACCCCGCTTTTTCAGCTGTTTCGTTACCATATATTTCGTTTTAATATACTTTTGTCTCTCACAAGACACACACACACACACTATATCCAAAGAGAAAGCAAATGAGATTAAAAAAATGAAGAAATTGCATTGAAAAACGTGGAAAATTGACAAAAAGAAAATAGTCTTATTTTTTAGCAAAAAAAAAAAAAAAATATACACAAACACACACATTAAACCATTCTCAATCAAAAATTGCAGACAAGCCAAAATACAAATATAATAATTGTTTTTGTATTTTAAACTTTTTAATTTAGTCGAACCATTTTTCGGCCCTCTTCGAGGTAGGATTTTGTTTTGACAAACAGAAATTCATCTCTCCCATTTTCGTTTTAATTTACAAAAAAAAAAAAAACAGTCAACCAATTCATTATTATACACATGATCCACACACACATACTTACACACCTCAACATCGGCAGGACAATGTTTTATATCATGATAACATAAAAAAACACCCCTATTTTCACACTCCTCTCTCTGTCTTTATCGATCTCATCCATCCATATCGACAACCTTATCGTTGATGTTTTTTTTTTCTCTCTTGACTTTTATTTTTAATCATCGTTATTTTTCCGATGGATTTTCCCGCAATTCTACCCACTTTTATTTCCATATTGAATTTTGTTGGATTTGGTTGACTTATTTTTGGCATAGATATTTATTTATACATTTGATTTCGTTTTTTGTCCGCCCCGCAATATCGCAATATTTTCGAGCCAGTTTTAGGTTTTGGGTTTGATTTTCGTACTATTCAATTATTTAGTCTTATTTTGCACTTATTATGTACACAGATATACGTACACACGCATATATGAGCTGAACCATGTCAATTCACACATTCGCTTGCTCACCGACTGAAATACAAACGCGCGAACGAGCCTTTGTTCGCCACCGGACGATAAAACGTCGTAATCATTGCGATCGTTCCGAAAATGTGACATGTTCAATGGAAACGATAAAAAATTTTGCTCAATGCAAAATTGAGTTAATCGAATTTTCTATGACTACCCAGAAAATAGCACATGACAAACTGGATCAATTCAAATGTCTAAAATTAGCACCCAATTTTTTTTTCTTTCTTTCTTTCATTCGTTTGTTAACTTCTAAAAGCAATCATATTTCAATCACTTAACACAACAGTCTTTAATAACAATCATTCTATTTTCTTTCGTCTCCGTTGCAATTTTTCTCCACACTTATTCATATACACAAATCATATTACAACAACAATAAAGCGAATGACAAACGGGGAAAAAATATATTTACAAATCGATCCATTAAAATTCCTAATGTGTACATGATCAGTATATTTATTTTATTATTATTATTATCAGCGCATTTTTTTTTCTTTCTCGTCTTTTCTGTTTGGAAATTTAAATATTTTCACAACACTCTCTCATTATATCCATATCACAAAAGCATACACACACCGAGCTTCCCATTCCTATCATTAACTCAACTACAATAAACAACCACAATAATAACAACAATAAAAATAAACAAATTAAAATTCCAAGTGAACTATACTGCTCGAAATAGATAAATTTTGGTTGTGTTTTTTTTTCTTCTTTTTTTTAACATATTGGATTTTGCTACTTTTTTCGATGTTCTTTCGTTTTTGTAATAAATCACCATTTAATGCGATTGATTTGTTGTTTTTCGTTCCGTTTGATTGTTGTTTAATTCTTGAAAATTAGAAATTAGATTTCGTTGACCAAATTGTACATGATGAGAAGAATTTAATGCAATTTTTCATACTAATTGTTTGCTATTGCTTACGTAAAATATAGATTGAGAAACCAGTAACTGAAGGCTTATCACATCGAACCAGAGACCAATGGGAAATCGATCGAGGCTCATTGAAATTCGTACGCAAATTGGGCTCAGGCCAATTTGGTGATGTATGGGAGGGTCTTTGGAATAATACAACACCAGTTGCGATCAAAACTCTCAAATCGGGTATGCACACGGACATGATTGTCGTTGTTTTTCTTTCGAAACACGCACGCGACCATTTCATTTACACCTAATTTCAATACATATACTAATTGAACTTTTCAACACCATTTTCACATCGCATAATTTCTAGGCACTATGGATCCAAAAGATTTCTTGGCCGAAGCACAAATCATGAAGAAACTGCGTCACCAAAAATTGATTCAATTATATGCCGTTTGCACGGTCGAAGAGCCAATCTACATTATCACTGAATTAATGAAACATGGTTCACTGCTCGAGTACTTGCAAGGTAATTTTTGGACTTACGTTTTTCTCATTTAATATTTGATTTTGATTATGAACTTTAAAATGTAAATAAATAATAAACGTCATTCGATTTATCGCACATAGGCAAAGGAAGAAACTTAAAATTACCTCAACTGATTGACATGGCCGCGCAAATCGCCGCCGGAATGGCATTCTTAGGTAAGTACCATCGATTTTGATTCTGATTTTAATCGTTTGTTGTGATTCGGTTACGTTTCGAATCGCGAGATTCTCCCATTCAAAAGTTTTGAATCAAAACTGAGACTCTTCAATTAAAAGATATGGACAATTGTGAGACTTTTGAACTGAGTCCAATTGAATGGAATATGCAATAGAACGAATCATGATATACATCACATAATAATATACTTGTTTAAATTACAGAGTCACAAAATTACATTCATCGTGATTTGGCCGCTCGTAACGTTTTGGTGGCTGACAATAATATTGTGAAAATTGCCGATTTCGGTTTAGCTAGGTAGGAAAACGTCTCAGTTTATAAATATTTATTTTCAAATGAAAAATTGTATACATTTTTTGTCTATGGTTAAACATGGAAAATATTTAAATTTTGGTTCAACCCATTATCTACCGAAAAATCGACCATTTTCTATGAAAAATTAAAGGCTTGGTCGAAAATGGGCTAATTCGATATAATAATAATGTCCCTTCTAATCTTTCTCTATTAATGATGTTGATTGTTTGATTGCCATCCGTAGATTAATCAAAGAAGATGAATACGAAGCAAGAGTTGGAGCTCGATTCCCGATCAAATGGACGGCACCAGAGGCAGCTAACTACAGTAAATTCTCCATCAAATCGGATGTTTGGAGTTTCGGTATTTTGCTCACCGAACTGGTGACATACGGTCGCATTCCATATCCAGGTGAGTCACAATCTCGTTGAGATGAAACTTATGTGATTGTGTTCATTTCATTGTGTTAAAAATTGAATTTTAATGTTGAATTTTTTTTTATCAATGATTCAATGACAATCAACGAACAAAAAAACTAATCAAATCTACTCCAATTTTTTTTTTATCAAGGAATGACCAATGCTGAAGTATTAAGTCAAGTGGAACACGGTTATCGTATGCCTTGCCCACCAAATTGTACGCAGCCACTGTACGAGATCATGCTAGAGTGTTGGCACAAAGATCCAATGCGACGACCAACATTCGAAACGCTTCAATGGAAACTAGAAGATTTCTTCACATTGGACCCAAGTGATTACAAAGAAGCTCAAGCGTATTAATTTACGTGATATTTAAGGCAAATGAATAAAAAAAAATGGAACGAACAAACATTTAGAAATGCAAAGTAAAAAAAAAAATCCGACGAAAATAACGGAGACAAAAAAAAAACAAATAATTGACAAATTAATAACAATAACAACAAATTTATAGATTTATAAATATAAAGATATATTTTAGAAAAAAATGAAAGTGAATTCATCCTGAAGAATGTAAGAGAAATAAGCGTGAAAAAAAAGAGAAATCATCATTAGGTTCTAAGTGAATATGGAATGGAGTATAGACTTGTTTATTTTCCTCTTCCCTCAAAAACACTTGTAAACTTGTACCCAAGAAAAAAAAACAACAACAACAACAAGGGACATGGAATATAAAAGGGACCGATTCAAAGGGATAATGAAGAAGAAACAACATAGATGCGACGAAGCGGGATATCCAATTGATAATTAGATTAGTTTCTATAAAAAAAAATTACATTGGTTACTACCAAAACAACATTCATTGACGGAAAGCCATAATTGCTAGACAATTGAAAGTGATCAATTTATATGCAATATTTTTTCCGACCCGATTATATTCCTTATAAATAAATATTATTTTTTTCTTTGCGCTTTAATTTAAATAAGAAACACATTTAAATAAGCGAATTAGGCCAATCGATTCTGCGAGACATATTCTATTCATTAATCAAATTAGATATTGCAATGATTTTTTCTTTTCGTTTCTTTGAACAAATTTTTCTTTCTTTTTTTTTATTATCTAATTATTATTATTATTTTGATAGATATCGTATTCTTATGAGTATTTTAGATGATCTTTTTTTTTTAAAACCATATTTACTTTTGATGTATTTTTTTGAAGTATAATTGTATTCTTTTCTCTTTACGTAAATTTTAAATGGAGACATTTTATTTGAAAATCACTAAAAAAAAAAAAATCACCATGATGGTATATGCGTCCAATATCGCATTCATTATGCATTTTTGCAGTGACTTTCAAATTCGTTGTATTTTCATTTCGTTTTTTTTTTGTCATATACAATCATCACGCGATCAATGTCAACCGTAAGGAAAATATTGAATTCATGTTATTTAGAACAAATCGTTTGAAAAAAGTGAAGAAAAAACAATTCAAACCGAAATAATTACATACAGGAAGAGACAAAAGAATCATACCAAACGTTTATGGGTTGACTATTGAACAAAGAAGAGAGACAGAAAAAAAAAAATTCAATCCAAATCCAATTAGGTTTAGTGTCCACTTTTTAAATAATTATAGACACAAATGGAAAAAAGTAAAAAAAAAAAATTGAAGAAAGAAACGTTGAATGTAGGTCAGTTGAATTTGAAGCCTATTTAATAATTTAGTTTTTAAATATAGAACTGAATCAAATAAAATTCTTTATTTTGTTTCCTCCCTTCTCTATCTCAATCTATCATCACGCATCTATCCGCCTTCTCTATCTATTCTTCTTGTATTTTAATTAGCCCGAACAAAATGGAGAAAGAAAACAGAAATAATGAAAATCCGATGCAACTAAATGTATAACTGAGTCAGGAATATGTTGAAGCAAATTCATGCAATCCTTACGAATTCTACATAGATAAGAATCGTCTTTTTCTTCTTTCTTGCAACGCAATACAATAAGACATTTCGTTCAATCAATGAGTGAATAATAGGAGAAGAGAAAAAATTAATTAAAATGAAGAAATAGTAATAGAAATGAGCATCAAGTCTAGGTTTAGTTTGCTATATATGTATGATGATGATGAAAAGTGAGGGAGACTAACTAAACTATAAATCAAGAAACAAAATCGAACGACGTTCAACTCGATCCGGACGATCAAATATGATGCTTTGTGAGCAAAAATTCGTTTTGTTTAGGTATTTACGTGCTATATTCATAACAAGAAATAATATAACATAAAAATAACGAAGGAGAGAAAAGTTACGCGCGATCAAATAAAATTAATGAAATTCCATTCATGTTCGACCGAGCACGACCGAGTTTCAGTCTAGCGGTTTTCATAAGCGAACCATTTTTTTTCTTCTTTAAGTTTTAGCAAATGCAAATAAATTTTTTTTCGCAAATAGAAGAAGAAGAAAACAGCAGAAGAGAACAGTGCATAGTGATTAGTCGGTGGAAATTATAATAAACCATCGATGATAACCATCTTAAATTTTGATGAATCGTTTCTCCGTCATTTTTTCTTCTTCTTCTTCTTTTCACTACATAGTTGCAAATGAAACCAGATTTAGACATGAAATAAATGAAAGAAACAACAACAACAACTAAATGAGTCAACTATTAGTTTACCCCCTTTTTCGGATTTCTCTTCATCTACTTCTAAATCTTAGCTATATAATTGATATTGATTACTGTATTATTTAGAGAAAAAATCCATTTTTTTCTTCTTTTTTTCCTCTTTTTTTTATATAGAAACAATAAACGGTAAATTAAAATGATACCTTTTTTTCGTTTTTATTTTTTATTTTTTCGAGTGGCGGTCATAACGCTCCAGACAGATAGCATACTCTAATGTAATAGAAACACAGAACACTGTCCATTCGGAGCATTATGACCACCATCCAGTTTCGTATTTTATACACGCAATGGTAATGGAGCATTGATTTAAAACATTTTTTTTTTCCATTTTTAGTTTGAGTCAAGCTGTCTCATTGATTCAATGGGTTAGATAGAAAATGTATCCAAGGTAGATGCATCTCTATCCAATGGTATAGACTCACTTTGGTTTCCTCGTTCATGTAATTCAATCCGATTTTCCGATTCGATGACGAATATATTTAGAGTATCGATGAACGGTTAAAACTTAAATATAATTGAATGTCCGAGAATGAAAACGCAACTTCTATTCACAACACATATAAGTGAAACAAAAATAAAAAAATTTATTGAAATGAAACAACACAATCGAATTTTTTCAAAGTGTAACAACAAAAAAGATTTTTTTAAAGTGTAACATCGGTATGTAGTAAGTGTAACAACATACCGATGTTACACTTTA